GCTGCAGTAAATTAGCCGCTTCTTTCCAGAGCATGGAAGTTCGGAATTCTAACTTCGCTGCTTTCATCGACATCTTCACATCAAACACGTACGTGATGGTTGTTATGTCGGATCCGTCGATCCCTTCTGCAGCTACTCTGATCAACATCCGCAATGCCAGGAAACACTTTGAGAAGCTGGAGAGAGTGGATGGTCCCAAGCACAGCCTCCTGATGCGTTGAATATTGCCAAATGCCCTTTCTGAAAATGCTGAATTGCCTTTCCCCCCTCCCCCGCATCTTTTTTTTTTTTTAATATTCATAATGTCCTGTGCTTTAAAGTGGGCTTTGACATGTGTGCTGCTTACTACTTCTTTCTTCCCTACTCCCTCGTCTTTGAACCTTGGACGCTATTTACTCAGCTATCCAGTAGAGCTTCAAGATGGCCTTTCTGAAAAGTTGGTATGGTGTAACACTAAAGTAGGTGGTGTGTGTGTGCGCGTGCGTGTGCGCGTTCTGATTACCTGGTTATAATAGATATACACATTAAAGCCTTTACAGTATCTTCCTGTATTCCTTACAAGATTGCAAAGATGGAATGTTACTATTTTATCAGCAAGGTATTAAAATGCATTTATAAATCCTTCTTGGCTTCAGTCATGAATAAACATTGCTGTTAGCAATTTAAAATATGGTCTTACTTGAAATAACTTTGGCTAATGTGTAAACAAAGATTCTCACTGCCCACAAGTAATGCTTAACTGGTAAATTTTAATTTTGTGATCTAGTCCCCATCACCTTAGCAATAGTGAATGGCAGCTGGAAGCAGAGCAACTAAGAGTAGGGGCTCTGAGGCTAGACCACCTGAGTTGAGTTCATATTGTCCCTTCACTTGCTAGCTCTGTGAACTGGGCAAGGTACTTAATTTCATTCTGCTGTTTCCTCATTTGTGAAGTGTGGGTAAGAGTAGCTCTACTTTTAGGATTGTTAAAAAAAAAATCAAAACAACATGGAAAGCATTTAGAATGGTGCCTGACATACTCAGTACTACATGTCAGCTATCAGTACGACCACCTGAGCCATTCTCCCCACCTACCCACCCACCCCTTAAATGCCTACTCCCAAATTACTGAAGCCTAGCTAAATGTTCGAGCCCTTGCTAAATGCCAGGTACTCTTAAATACTTGATGTGTATTCTTTAATCCACAACCTGAGGTAGATTACTTTTATTTCTTAATAGGTGAGAAAACTGATATGACCTTATTAAGGTCATACAGCTGAACTTAGGCAGTATGATTACAGACCTACCCCTTTCTTAACCATTACTCCCCACTATTTCCTCCATTAACAAAAGTTAATCCTAAAAATCTTAGCTTTTCAGGTGTACACTACGCCTTCATATAATTCCCCTAATTTTACAGATTAAGGAAACTGCAGCCCAGAAAGTTAAGCGACTTCTCAAAGAACAGTGTTTCGTTCACTTTGGGCAAATTCACTTCCCCATCTTTATCTATCTGGAAATCGGTTAATACTGAATCAGAGTCTTAAGATTGCCAGTTTTTAGGGAAGGATTCTAAGGTTCCTAATTTGGACTGTCAATGTGGTACAGTGAAGTCAGAAAACCCTTAAAATGTCCTATTCCAACTGCCTTATGCTTTTAAATGAAATCTAAGTATTTTAGAGCCAGGAGACCTCTCTGATACACTCTTCTCACCATTTTACAAAGGACGCATTACCTTTGAATACAGACATTAAATAGGATAGAGCTTTAGCTTTTCCAAGACCTTTATAGCAGCAGCTGTGGATGACAAAGTCCCTACCCATGAAGAGCAAGAAACTATTCAGATCTAAGTTATTAAACTCTTCTACGTAGGGCCTTTGGCAATAAGTTAAAAGGCTCCAGATGTTAAAAACTTAAGATTTCCTTTTTAAAATCATTTTAAAATACCGCATTTAGTAAATCTAATTAAAATGGCAGTAACAAAATACTTTTACCTGAATCACTTAACCTCTCAAATTTCTTTTGTTGATTAAATTACTGGTAGACCTTTATATGTGATCATTCTAGGATGTGCAGGGCATAGTTCTTTTTTATATTATATAGGAAATTCCAGAGCCAGGTGGTATGATACTGAATGTTTATTCAAGGCTATAGTAAAGAGAACATATTTACAAATAGTCCCATAGAGGACTCACAAATATTTTAAATATAGCATGTGGACTGGCACAGTGCCTAAGGTGAAAGCAACTATGTATCTGCAAGATAATGTAAAAGAATTTTACCTTTGCATTTTACATTATAGAAAATTTCCATTACTTTTACATTATGGAAAATTTCCTTAAACATTTATTTTGTTTAATTTAGAATTCTAAGTAGGAAAAAAAATAAGGTTTCCTTTATAAAGTTCTCAAGAATTCCTGTTTTTCTCCCTTAGATAAAACTGACTTCATAGATCATGGTAAAAAATGGTTTCAAAATACTTGTATTTTTTCAGTTAAATTCCCCCCAAATGTTTTTTGCGTTTTGTTTTTTTTTTTTTTGCCTCAAATACTCTTTATTCCACTTGGTAACATTTTTCATGTTAAATATTACATGCTTGTCCTCTTTAAACATTTAAAACAATTAGGACATTCTGTCTTTCGTTACTAAAGTTTCAAGTTGACATAGAAGTCAATTACACACCTTTATCTTACAAATAGTGAATAAAACGAGGTACATTCTGTATCATCTACGATGAATGTAATGAGAAAAAGTACATTTACAGCAATAATTAGCACTCTACCATTATTTTAATCCCATCACAGAGGAGGCAAAGAAAACAATTCCAATACTTAAGTATTTGCTAAAGATGATCCATGGCCCTTGAGGATATGTATGTGTGGACACACACCTCCCACATCTACAAAGGTACGTTATGTCCATATGTGTATCATCAGTATGACTGGAAAGATCACACACATGCAACCATGAAAAAATACGATAAAAGCACTACGTGAAAAATACTAAATGAATAAAAGATAAACTACAGATTTTAGAGAAGAGCTAAATCCATGAATATGGAAGGGACAGATGAGGACTTCAAGGTGGAAGTGACATTTGGTCTGAGCCCTAAAGGACAGCTAGAATTGTGAATTAAGATTTCTAAAGAACCACGATCACAAAAGCAGTTCAGTAAAAAAATGAGAAATGATAGTGGAAGGGGAATAGAGGAATCTACACAGGGGACATGATATGCCTTTAAATTTTAACTCTATTCTGGAATTAGCAATAAACCATTAATGGAATTTTAAACTAAGTGATCAAAACAGTCCTAAAGTCAAAAGGTAGCAGCTCTGCAGGCAATACTGGAGCGGGGAGAGCCTGAAGGCAGTTACGTCATAATCACAATGGTTTAGGAGAAACTGATAAATCAGAGATATTTTTGTTAATACTACTGGCATATAAAGGACAGGAAAGAATGCCAAACTCCCAGCCTATTCCAGGTATGACTCACTTAACAATGTGGTTTTTGTAAATCCATACTGTCCAGAGACATTTTGATCTTTTGATTCTCAGTAGTTAAGGGCCTCCCGCCCTTACTGTTGAATTTGCACTACCTTATCAATTAACCTCTAAAGCAGTACATATATAATAATATACTTGCTTCTTTAAGGTACCCCAAGGCTAAATGTGACTCTATATCCCCCAGCAGTGCTTCTCAATCTTATTTTTTTTTTTAAAGATTTTTTATTTATTTATTTGAGACAGAGAGAATGAGAGAGAGCACATGAGAGGCGGGAGGGTCAGAGGGAGAAGCAGACTCCCCGCCGAGCAGGGAGCCCGATGCGGGACTCGATGCAGGGACTCCAGGATCATGACCTGAGCCGAAGGCAGTCGCTTAACCAACTGAGCCACCCAGGCGCCGCTCAATCTTATTATTGAACCTAAGAATCACCAGGGAAGCATTTTTAAAATGTAGATTTTTAATCCCCATTTTAGACCTACAGAATCTACAGCTTTTAGGATGTTACCCAAATGATTCCTTGAGTCCACCTTAGACAAGTCGTTTAAGCTCCCTAGCTTCAGTATCACTGTGAAATAGGTACAATAACCACTGTCTAACAGTAGAGTTATGACAACTGAATAAAACGTATTAATGTCTAGGAATGGCCCTGGCACGTTGTGGAAGCTAACAGCCCTACCTCCTCCCTAATACGTTAATTCTGGATTTACAGGTTAGTGGGTTTTCTTATGGCAGACTAGAGGATAGTTTTCCAGTTGATCTACAGTCCCTCATTTGTTGTATTAACTAATAAAGGAATATAGCACCCTAGGAGAAAATGCTCTTCCTCTTTCTTTTCCACTGCAAAATAAGGAAGTTATATGTGCTTTTCTTTTTCTCACAAAAAGACTGGCCTTCAAACTGGGATCAAACCATTTAGCAAAAGCCCAAAATGAGTGAAGGAAGATGAACAATTAAGCCCATCCACCTCCAGAACTCTCCCCTTCAACTTTTCTCCTCTCCTTACCAGTTTCTGGACAAACGGACAAGGTTTTGATGGTTAAGAACTGGGCTAGGCAGAGGGGTACCATAAGTGCTATCAACTTTCCAGTGCATGCTCATTGCTCCTGGTTCACAGAGGGCAACGGCATGTATACACTTTGATGGTGACGACGAGCCATTTTCTCAGCCAAGGGTCACGACAGAGTGAGGCACGTTACCGTAAGGGAGGCCTCACCTGACTCCCATTCAGTCCACAAGGTCAATCAGAGGCCAAGTCCTGTGGCCATATCCTTTATCCTAGGCTTTTAGTTACTTCTAGAAGGTCTTGTGGTATATTAAGGAAAATAGGGTCAAATCCTAGCTTTACCACTGACTTAACTGTGACACTGAGCAAGTACGCCGAATTCAGTTTTCTCAAGTTATTTTGAAGCTATTCATAGGCTGTGGCATACTAATGGTTTTTGAAAAGGAAAGTAAAACAATAAAAATCACCTGCTTTCCCTAAAAAACATGCCCCCCAAATAAACCAACAACAGTAAACAGAAACTAATAAATGTTTAATTTACATTTTTTTCTGTTAAAATATAAAACTAGGGTTAAATTAAATTCTCAAAGTCTAAATTAGACTAAATATAAATCTGCTGTACAACCCACTGAATGGATTTATAGTTTGACAGTGTTCCTTAAAAGTGTCTAGTCATCTTCCATCTTTTTCCTTTTTTCTAAATTCACTCTGCCCCAGTCTTCACTTATCATCACATACACTTTATTCCATCAAACATTTTCCAGGACCAACATACTACTTAAATAATCATTAAGCCTGTTTAGAGCTTTCCCAAACTTGAACTTTTTTCACCTTGACTACACATCCCAAGGTACTACTTTTCTCACTTTTTTTGGTTAGTACTATAGTGTTCCATAAAGAAACAATAAAAGTTATGTATTTCCCTAAAATGAAAGATCAGTATTCAATGGTTATTATGTTAACCAGTTAATAAAAGTATATCAAAAACCACTCATGTTTGTTAATCAACTGAAATTATAATAAACTAATACTTTGCTATTAATGCTTACAAATTATTCAAGGAATCAAAATGGCTTCACAAAACTTGATGTCTGCTTCCCAAATACTTCACATTTTTTAACCCAGATCCATACAAGGAGAAAAATCCAAACATACTCTCTTTACCTAAAAACTAAAGTTTGGTAAAAGGCATTATTTAGGATTTTTTAGACCTAGAAAAAGAGTTATACTTCCAACGTGTATTTAAATTATAAATCCGTTTTTATCCTGTGACACTGCTTGAAATTTAAGTACATCAGAGTTAAATTAACTGGGCTTCTGCTTCATCTCTTCAAGTCTGATGGAAATTCATTTGCATCAAGGCTCTTATTCAAGATTTCTTCTTCTGCAAAGGTGATTTTAAAAAAGAGAAAAGGATAATCAAACATTACAAAGAAAAAAATTAAACAGGACAAATTCCAAATAGTAGCAAATTTCAGTCTTCTTAAGTAAAATGTTCACATGCGAATGACTACGATAAAAATTACCATTATTCTCATTGAGGTACTTTTCTCCAGAGAGTATCAATACATCCCTCTTAGAATACTTTTTAATATACCAGTGTTTAATTTTCATGGGCAAATCAGAGTGATAAATAATGAATCTGTATCACCAGATCTATGTTTACTCTAACACGCTTTAAGAACAGGGTTTTTTTCTTAATCACTATAATGAAAATTTTCAACATACAAAAATAAAGAAAATTATCATTAGCCCAATGTATCCATTATCCAGTTCAGTAATTAATACTGTTATGTGAACTGTGTCCCCCAGAAAGACATGATGAACTTCTAACCCAGTACCTCAGAATGCGGCCTTATTTGGAAAGAGGGTCATTAAAGATATAATCAGGATGAGGTCATTCTGGAGTAGGGTGGGCACTTAAACCTACATGACTAGTGGCCTTATAAAGAAGGCACACAGACACACAAGAGGAGAAAGCCATGTGAAGATGGAGGCAGAGATTAGAGCTGTGCTACCACAAGCCAAGGAACAGCTGGGGCTACCAGAAGCTGGAAAAGGCGAGAAGGATCTTCCTCTGGTGGCTTCAGAGGGACCACGGCCCCGCTAACACCTTGATTCTGGATTCCAGCTTTCAGAACTTACTGTATCCAGAGACAATAAATTTCTGTTGTTTTAAGGTACCCGGTTTGTGGTACTTTGTATGGCTGCCCCAGGAAACGAATACACTAACCTATCTTGTTTTGTCACCCATCCCCCTCAAATTTATTTCAAAACAAATTACAGATATTATATTACTACAAGAATGCTATTTAACATACATAGTGTTACTCAACATTTTTAGAACCATCTTCCACTAGCCAAGATTTTGACGAGATTTACTTTTGACTGTTTGTATTATAAAAGCAATAGGTTTCAGGGTTTTGGTTTTATTTTCCACCCCTGTCCCACACTAACTGTAAACTATATACCCATCACTTGAGATTCTGGAAGTACCCATAGAAGTGACAAGTTCACTCTTCTCATCCTAGTTGAAGGAACAAAGAGCATATTTTATCACATTAACAATAAAGATCATGCAACATTCAATGCATACTACTGTTACAAGAGGTTGAAAGAAAAATTCAATAGGTCAATATGCACAGGTCTAGTTAAACCTTACCTTTTAAATTAGGTAGAAGTTCTCCAAGACTACATGGTATTGTGGTTTTCGATCTTTGTTCCACTGGAGAAAACTTAATTAGTGGCGAAAGTGACCGTTTCCTTTCACCAAGGGACATGCGTAAAGATGGTTTTGTATAGTCAACATGCAAATCATGAGTACCCAAAAAGTCAAGCATATCATCTGTTTGCATGTTTGTGGGAATAGGGCTCAATTCTGGTTTGTGTCCTTCAAGTGCTTCAGGATTAGAAAGGTCACTTTCTTCCCTTTTCTTGGATAGAGATTTTTTCAGAGCCTCGTATCTACGACAAATAGCCTGTAAATTACAGTCCGATTCTGGAGTAGTTGGTCTTTCTCCCACAACATCTTCTGGAAAAATGCCACTGTGCATAGGACTATTTGGCTCCAGTTTAAAATTGGCTTCTGTACTACTGGAGCTATTAAGACTTAAGTTACCAACTTCTTCTGGAAGAGTTTCATGTAATATGCCAAAATCAATATCCTTTAAACTCCTGGAACTAGTTCCACCTGATACTTGAAAAGAGTCCCATAACATACTTTTATGCATGAAAGGTTCCTTGTAAGAAGCTTGCAAGTGGTCAAGAGAAGACTCTTCTTCACTGCTACCCATTACAAGTCTCCTAGTCCCTACAGTAGGGGAGACTGTCTCTGTTTGGCTAGTGTCTAAAAGCTTGTTCTGTAATTCTGCACACTCCAAACCTTGCTTGCACATTATTTTCTCACTTAACAAATCTGACTGATTTTGTGTCGATGGTCCACCTATGTGACTGGTCACCACATGCTTCTGAGGCACACACTTGAGGCATTCTGAAACAACTTTCTCTTCAGGCAAATGGGAATGGCTAGAATTGGATACAGTGCTTGCTGAGAGAAAGCTGGTCCTGCTAATTTCTCTTGGGCTATGCAACACAGGTAAGGATTCTGGCAATTCTTCTCTATGTTCAGTATCCACCTGAATTGGTTCTGTACTTCTGTTATCTTCCATTTCGACAGCTTTTCTCCATGAGCTCCTAATTTCACTTACTAATTAAGGGAAGGGGGAACACAATTTATTAATATTCCCAAATAGAGCATGAAATTAAAAACTTCATTTCTAGCGCTCAACATAAAGCTACCGACTCAGTATATGTTACACAGATATGCCCACTGGATGACAAGACTCCACAACAAACCAAAGACCAACAACATGAAAGAACTCCTTCTCCAACTGATCACACACAAATAACAAAAGCTGTCCCTGAAATGTGCATATACTTCCACACAGCACATACAAATTACAGGTATTAGAAAGATGTTTTCTTATCCGTCTAAGCTAGGATTCAGCAAAATTTTTCTGTAAAGGGCAGATAGCAGTATTTTAGGCTTTGTAGGCCATCAGTCTGTGGTGACTATCAACTGTGCTACTATAACATAAAAGCAACCATAAACAGTATGTTGACAAATCAGCAAGGCTGTGTTCAATACAACTTTATTTACAAAACCACACAGGGCAAGCAAGATTTGGTTCACAGCTTGTAGTTTGCTGACCAATGATCTCAATTGTGGCTAGGTTCAACCTGAACTGAATCAATTTTACTTCAAATATGAATTCAACCAGGATGATGTGCCATACGGACAACAAAATCAGAATTTTGCCAACACAGATTATAGGTTATAAGAAAAAAATACTGGGCAGTCTAGCTAGCTAGAGAGGGGTAGAAACGATTCCTATACACACAATTTTTGGCTGATGTTGCTGGCTGCTGACTGGAAGGACACAGCCTATATATCTATAAATGATGAGCACAGGTCAAATGTGGAGGCAGAGGGTGTTTTTTGTTTGTTTTGTTTTTATTTATTTATTTTTAAAGATTTTATTTATTCATTTGAGACACGGAGATACAGAGAGACACAGCGAGAGAGGGAACACAAGCAGGGGGAGAGGCAGAGGGAGAGGGAGAAGCAGGCT